TGTAAATTCTTTACTACATATTACAGCTTGGTCTGGAATGGGCTCCCCGTAACCGTACGCAACAGCACCTCTGTGTCGCAGTTTGAGCACCTTATCAACTCGCTTTTGGGTTCAGATGATATCTGCAGTCTGTTTGTGGATAGATGCCTTTCAACAGAGGTACTCAGAGATGTCGCCTTAGGACTCCAGTGTCTCCAGGGTGGTAAAACTGATGATAATTTAAGAATAAATATAGGTGGGACCTCTCTCTATGTTCTATGAAATGGATTAAGTAGCTCTCAATTCGGGACAGCGAGAACTATGTGTACCAGGCAGTTTCCCTTCCGTTGTATAACCGGTATCATCGTGTTAGGGTGGCCCATATGGTAAATAGCATACTCGCCTGACTGAAAACTGCGTCCAAATTCACCTAGTTGTACTACTGAAAAGTCTGTCCTCAGAATTTCTCGCAAACGCCTATGCATCATATCGCCTTATTTCCCACACACTAAGACTGCCGTTAATTTACTTCTTTGTGCCAAAACTTATTTCGTATTCAGAGACCTGTGCATGCGCCCGTATGCATGACGACTACCTGTCCCTTGTCTCTTAGATTCTCAATTGGACGCCTCGACTGATATGCCCCACCAGTCAGACAAATAGTTTCAATGCCTTATATCGTGTTTATCGCGCGTCAAAAGTCACTGATACTATCTCCCTATAGTTTATCACTGAAAAGACAGATAGCTGTTGTGCAACAACCCTTAAATCTGTATCTGACTTCTCTTTCTTCAGTTATTCTGCTCATATCTTGTAGCCCACTGACTTCAGCATGCGACAAATTGTTCATACCTGTGTTTCTTTTCCTTTCTCACAGGCAGATTCACAATCAAACCACTGCACACTGATTAGTTCTACAGTTCACCTCAAATTTATGGCTGCAGTTGGCTTTATACCTGGAAATGTTGGCACTACATGCTGTTGGTATCCAAACGTGCAGGTTCTCCGACCAATAACGCCCGCTCGCCTCATAGCGAAGAGAACCGAAACTGACTTCATATGATGCGCCAAACTTTAAGACACATTGAGTAGCATAATGGTGAGACCTCACGATTCGTGGGCTGCAAAATGAGAACAGTTTCTGGGCTGAGTTATAACCTTAGCTTAATTTATTCCCGTGAATTTGTTTCCAATGACGCAGAACCAAGCAATCACCACATGCCGCATGATACCGTGTTACGTTCATCCCAGGCTTGGTCATCGGTCCATGCCATGATTTAAACCTAGTTTTAAATGCTTTCTGTGAACAACAAAAGCTTGTTGATGATTCGCATTTTTCAGCCTTACTTATGCTTGACATTTGATATTCTATGTACGTTTACTGATCATGCGACACATTAATTGGAGTATAGAGGCCTAAACGCGGTTGCCTGGTTAAAGCTCATACTGGGTGATAGTCCCTGTGATACTACTCGCTGCTGTTATGCAGCGAGAGTTAGTATCTAATATTTTTAGCCAGCAACAGCTGAATGATTGCATCCTAGCAGACCATGTATGGTCTAGCGATGTATTCTTCTTGAATTTCCTCGGCCTCACTAACATCAATGATATTCAGATACTGCCTGTAGAAGCGGCATGTGTTCGTTACCATTCGTTTGCTTGCTTACTTTCAAACATCAAGAGCGTCCAATAAAAGACTTTTCCTCCGTGCTATCAAATCGTCGGCCTCCTGGGGATCAGTTGCTAGACACTGTTCCCAGTATCCACTTGTCTGCACAGTAAGTTGGTTGACTGTATTCCTTTGACTACCTCTTGTCAGTTACTATACTGAAGACACACTTCCCTGGTGAGATACCCACCCCAGAGAATCCAAACACTAACATGATTATGGGACGCAGTGAGGCGAAAAAATCCCGAACAGATAGCTTGGACAAGAAAAATGAGCGCGCCACAGATCCGTCTGAAACGCAGTCTCAAAACTCTCCGACAGCAGCAACAAAGGGACACAAACAATGATAAACCCCCTGTACCAAAACAAACTGCTTCCCTTGGAAATAGCTCTGAGAGGCCAAAAACCAGCAGAATGAACTCATCTGCTGTCCTAAATGAAAATAGGAATGCGAATAAAACCAGTACGACGCCGGAAGGGGCGACCTCCACTGACCACATTCGATACAGGCTGGACGGCTGAAACAAATACCCAAGGAATGATCGGAAGAAATTCCCCTTCACAAACACAACCCGAGACCCGAAATTTAGGGTTAATGGGCATAATAACGCAAAGCGTCGATATTGGCCCGTAACACAGGACCCAAGAAGTAAGTTCGGCGCTGTAACGTTGAAACTATACGCTACTTTCACACGTGATCCTTGGTTATATCTTTTGTCGATTTCTTGTTGTGCTTAGCCCATTATTACTGTATATATGTAGTGATATAACGATACATTCTATCTGGACAATTTAAAGCTACATTGTTATATATAGACAGTGCATTCCCATCCCTTTAGACTGCATGCATTACCGTCAACTGCACATCTCACTTAAAACCTATTATAAGAATGGGACAGTCGAAAGCAAAGCGTTCAAAGATAGATAGCTCTAGCGATAAGAATGAGAGAGTCGGCTCCACTAATATTTCAGGTTGTGACCGAAACTCTATCACGTCATGTGATCCAGATTCCGGAGAACTTACATGCCCGACACCTCTTGTCAGGGCTGAATACATTATGTCGGTCATGAATAACAACATCAAGGAAAATAGAGAAATTGACAGTATTAAGTCCATGATAGATTGAATCAAGAGGGTAGTTAAGGACTTCTAACCCTTAGCATATCTTTTTGAAAAACACAACAACCTAGTCCCAAACCATATTGAAGAAGCTAAAACGCTAATAGATTACCTGGCAACTGAAGTAATGAAGAGGCTGGCATCTTCTCAACAGCCAATAGTATATAATGTTTCAGATATCGTCAAGAAAAGGTTATTAAACTCATGTGGCATAACGCCTATGCACTGTGAACGTAAACGCTTCCGCAAGAAAGCAGTACAGATAAGTTGTCCCATTCTTTCCAAGATCACCACCTCATGTGATGCTAAGAGGTTCATTAACTATCAGGACCATATAAGACTAAACAGTAATTTTAAAACTGTTGCAATTGTACAGGACAAAACTCCTTGTCAGCGCAGAAAACAAAGAAGAAAAGGTCCTACCACTCCGAGGCATGCAAACTACGAAAGTAAAGGATGCCATGAGAAACATTCGAATATGCTGTTATGACCAGTAATCCTATTGCGCCAACCACTCTGGTGGTAAAGCAATCCCAAGTGGACTTGGACCTAAGTAATCCGGATTGTTTAACTTCTCATGAAACCCCAGCTATCAGCACTAGTCTCCCTAGGGTAACTATAGATAAAAACCCTTTAGCTGATAGTAACTTCACAAAACACAGATCTGCAGGTAAAAACATGTACTTTGGACTTACAAAGCTCCCGAAGAAGACCATTTTAAAACTCATTTCGTCTAATGATGGCGAAGAAAACTTCGTAGTTAACATAGTTATCGTGGACAAAACCGCTATTGTATGTATGGGAGGTAAGGCATCTCGAAAAGAAAACCCACCGAAAGGTCATGTTACACACCTAACCTCAACTGTTAGAAAGAGACACTACAATAACTTGAAGAGATCTGACATCAGGCAGTACCCTAGATCACGTTTACACAGCCATCAGGGCTCAAACAGGATGCCATGTGGCATACCAAATACATTCATGTCATACAGGTCACATATACCCTACCCAAACCTACATCGCCAGTACTTTGGGAATGTATATAATTACTCCCCCAATACCATCCCTACTTTCGAGCTTCATCAAAATGTTTTTGGGACTCCGAACAGTATGTACGACCCATCACCCATAGGGTCGTTTCCCCCCCAGAAACACGATCCTGGAGCTACCATCCTCGGCTTGCACTGATCATGAACTGCACTGTACGTCACCAGTAAGAATGAACAGCGCATCGACTACGTATATGCACCCTCAAGGAGCAAGTGATCGTAAATCATTGCACAATGAAACTTCACTGGTCATATCGCCACTCACCACCATTGAGTCTCATCATGCCCGTAGCTCAAGTAGCACATCGCCTAATGAATTATGTATAGGAAACTTCTCTAACCAACTAGACGTACACGATGTTGTAAAACACTTCACAAGTCATAATAACCTTTTCACACTTCTGCTCATTAATGCACGGTCGCTGCCGAAGAAAATTTCTGACTTGAGAACGATAGTCTTGCTAACTAAGCCTACAGTGATATTAGTCACTGAATCATGATGCCCCACCTCAGTCCTTGATGCAGACTTGTGCATAGGTGGTTATGCCCTCTATCGCACTAACCGAGATCATAAGCGTGGAGGAGGTTGTTTGATTTATACATGTAGCCTTGTCACAGCTAGTAAGATTGAAGATTGTACATTGAATGCTCCGCCTGACTCAATGTGGGTTATTGAAAACGGTGCTAACTATAAAATCCATCAAGGGAAGCTGATGAGCTTATTGCTCAGTCATTTTCCCATGCTGCATCCATCAGTGCTGACTTCAAACTGATTGCAGGAGACTTTAACCAGCCTGAAGCTAACTGGGAAACCAGTTGTGGCCCCCAACGCTGTGATGAAATACTTGCCGTCTTAGATTTCCATGGATGGAAACAATGTGTCCACTCACCCACATGTGGGAGCACTACGCTGGATCTAGTCTTTAGCCGTGACATCGTCCCAGTCACCACGTACGTTGGTGGTGAATTTGCTGAGTGATCATAAAATGGTTTTCTGTTGCCTACCAATCTCCCCTCTTCGTGAGGAAAACAGGGAACCTATGAGAAATATCTTGCATCGTAGCTACAAAAGTGTAGACTGGAAGGTATTCATGAAGCTTCTCAGGTGCAGCCCATGGGATGAGTACTTCATGACAGCCTCATTAACAGAGTCACTTTCGTTTTTCTATAGAAATATAATGCCATGTCTAGATACGTTGCTCCTATTAGAGTGGCTAAGGTGAAGAAGAATGAGGACACAATGAGGGAACAATTTGACAGCCGAATGTGGACCGACTACTGTCAGATGCTGGGACTCCCTCCCCTCCCTGCAACTTTATGTCGCCTTTCTCGAGGAAGCCATGCACCCCGAGATAAGCCACCCCCTTTACGTGTGTCCCTAAATACCGCCAAAGAGGCTGAAGACACACTCCTCCTCTCACGACAACCGGACGTTGTTAATGCCTGTAAAATTCGGGCCAGGCCTGACAAGCCATGGTCAGTAAGAGAGGAGGAGAGAAAGTCAGCGGTTGGAAATCCCAACAGAAACAACACTATAGTTGTACATGGGATTCCAGAATTGCCAAGTGACAGCTCGGTCAAAGATCGGTACTTTCACGACGTCCAACAATGGCAATGGCTCTCAACCAAAGTTGGTCTCAACAGTATACCGGCCAACAGCGTCAGTAGACTGCCAAGGCCAGCGCACCTGAAGACCATACCCAATCCCAGACTACTTGCCGTCCAGTTCGACTCATATGCCTCCCTCACAGACGTTCTGCACGCATGGTATAATGCGAAAGATCGCATGGGTGGCTCAATATGTGAAAGTAAGCCTAGACCCACAAGGCAAGAGGAGAGACGGCAACCACCAAGACCTCTGGAGTCAGTGGTCGTCACACAGGCGCTGACCAGTGAGTTAGATACATCAAGTAAAGAAGCCACCACTGCTACAGCCCCCACCCAAGTTAAGAACAAAACACAAAAAACGGAACAATGCCAGTCCTATGAGGACTGGCGAGGCTAAATTCAACCACGTAAGCGCTCATCCCTCGAAAATACACATCCAGACCTCCCCTCTCATCAGGTACACTCTAATATGTATGTACAGCAACGTTAGGGGGCTAATAGGGAAGGTAGCAAAAATGAGGACGCTGCGTGAACATCAGCACTACGACATCATATTCATCACCGAATCCTGGCTCTCGCCGGACATCTCCGACGAAGAGATGCGTGTTGCTGGCATGGAACTCTTCCGCAGGGACAGGGAACATAGAGCAGGAGGGGGAGTGGCTATCTACGCAAACTCCTGTTTAAAGGCAAGGATGGTTAGCGATACGGCCTTAACCCAGCTCCCAGAGTCTCTATGGTGCTACTTCACTCTCTTCTTTATTCTCTCTTCATTCCTTTACCACTACCTTACTATTCTCTTTCAGGTACCTACACAGACAGGAGTCATGGCAGTTCTCTAAACTTCCCAGCAACCCGTAGCTCCCTAATCACTCTACAAATTACAACCTACTAACCCACAAAACATCCACCTCACCGAAGCTAAAAGCAAGAAAGCAGAGGGGATTTCCTCGTCCACTGCAGGAGTAAACCGAACAACTGGAACCAAGCCCTAAGAACTAGACGCGAGAGATCAAAAACTACCAGTTTTCTACGCTCGCACTATCAATATTGGATTGGATATTGGAGGACCAATACATCCCTCGAATATTTCGGAACAAGTTACGAAAATTATCTAAGCTATATCATTCTTCTAAAGACTTCCTGGTGCTGCACTCAATCTACGATACTTATCAAGCAATTAAGACTTTGCGTGCTCAAGACTCAATAAGTGGAGAGCTGAATGCCCTCAAAAGTGTGTCTAGGATACATAGTTTGACCTCCCTTTTGAACAAACGTTTGCAAGCATCGAGAGACATAGCTTGTTCATTACACAACGGAATGGTCTGTAACGATCCCCTCGAAATTTGTGAACTATTTAGCGAATCCTTCACAAAATTCAGTCCTAGCACGCTTAACCCTACCACTTTCACATTGCTCACTACAGGTTCATGCGCCAATGTGAATTTTACTGTCAATAATATCACAGAGGCTATCATGAACTTGCGACTATCAACAGGTATGGAAATCGACAACCTAAACTCAATTGTTATCAGGAACAGTGGTGACGATATGTCTCTGTTTCTGCTTAAGATATTCACCCCATCAACGGGAAGTGGCGTATACCCCACTGAATGGAAAACTAGCTACATAACGCCTCGCTATAAGTCCGGAGACAAATCGAACACCAATAATTACAGACCCATCAACATAACACCAGTCCCTCTAGAATTATGGAGAAAGCAATCAAAAGCAGCGTCTCTGATAACCTAATAACAGAAAATCTAGTCAAAAAGTCTCAGCACGGTTTCATAAAGAACAGGTCCTGAGCTACCTGCCACTGATTTCTTCAACTTCATCACTAGTAACCGTGAGGCGGGTAAAGTCGTCATTGTTCTATACTTTGACATATCAAAAGCATTTGATAAGGTGTCTCATAATGTACTCTTTGATAAGCTACAATCAATTGGTATTTGCTACCCGCTACTTAGTTGGATAGAGTCATTTCTTAGTGATCGTGCTCAAATCGTGAAAGTAACTCCGTGCAGTCTGAACCTAAACATATAACTAGCGTAGTTATACAAGATGGTGTCCTTGGGCCTGTATTGTTCATAATTGATATCAACAGTGTGTAACTGCTTCAGTGAAGGCAAACATTCTTATATGCCGATGACTTGAAGGTTGTGTACACTTGTCGCTCTCATGAACTACGTAATACTCCGGATACTGCCCGACAGGAACTAGGTAAACTTGCATCATGGTGTGCCGAGTCGCAGCTTGAATTCATTAATGACAAATGCGGTTGGCTTACTATCGGCAACGACAGCCATGATCTAACCCTGGAGATATGCGCAAAACAGCTACCTAGACTAGCTTCTGTGCTAGATCTTGGCATCAGGTATTCCAGAGACTTGACATTCTCGGAACAAACAGCACATATCAGATCCATGCCACGCAAACTCTTGTGATGTATCATTCGTAACTTCCATGGCACTGAATCACAAGTTCTACTCTATAAAGTGTGCATTCACCCACTTTTAGAATATTGCCCGTTTATTCTCAGTGGCCTCCGTAGAAATGATAAACTGAAAGTTGAAGGGGTACAGCGTTACTTCACCTTCAGAACATTAAGAGCTGACTCTAATCTGGACTACGCATCCAGATATGACATGCTTAGGTTAGAAGCACTCTGGAAGAGAAGACTTAAACTGAACCTCATATTTCATTATAAGTTACTTCACCAGCACTTACACTCTCGTGGCCCGCAAATTAAGTTAATTGTGACGTCTACATACAACATGCGCAACCACAAAGTATTGGTTGAAACCGAGCGTTGTACGACCAGCTTGCGAGATAATTTCTTCCTCAATAAATTCTCACACATTTGGAGCAGGCTTCCAGAAGAAACCCACACAGTAGGCTCGTTAACAATTTTCTGTTATTCACTTAATAGGCTACTAATAAACGACAAGTCTATCGCTCAATTAGTCACCATCTATGCATCCTGGGCTAATGAGGATATACTTGGACCTCTAAATGTATGAAACAGAGCTATTACAGACCTCGTGTTCCTCCTACGCTTATGGGTTGACGATTGCTTATAAGGGTGTGAACACTGGTTCCCCTCCTCACCATAATGAACTCACGTGCACTGGTTCACCCTCAAAGCTGATGCAATACACCCCAGACAGAAAAGTGTTGAGAATCTTATAATAGAAAAACTACGTGGTTAGTCACACATGCATACATGAAAATGTACATAAAGTTCGGATAGGTCTAAAAGTATAGGAACTTCTCTCTTTTGCAAGCTGGTCTGAGTGATAACTCCCTTTCCCACATCTGCTCGTGCTTCTTCTTTGTTTTTTACTTTACAGCAACAGCTCGATGATGACATTCAGTGCTGAATTTCAATCTGGACACACCTACTAAGTGGAAATAATACCTACTGTTCAACTCCACGAATTATTGGACTGCTCCCAATCTTTCGCGGTTTCTGAAACATCTTCACGATCAAATCATCAGCTGGTCAGGATTCGTAATGCGACGAACCGTCTAAAGTTTCCCAACAGCCATAGTGGCACAAATATTATGAACAAATGATCAAACGAGAGACCAATCTACCTTTTGGCTCGGAATATGACTTACCTGCAGAAATTCCACACTACATGTTCTATAGTACTCTGCATCAATCGATCCTTTTAAGTAAAAGTTACCATGTATCAAATGCACCTCCCGAGTGATGCCGCTTACGTTAATATGAACGATGCCTGATCTCCATATGTAATTGCTGCCGTTTGGACCATTAACCGTCCCAATGTTTACCTTCATCTACTACTAGAAGTACTCCCAATGGAATTGATGTATACTACCTTTGAGCCACATGGTGAACTGGAAATGCATGGATTTAGACACTCGCCTTGGTTATATAACTGTGGATACTTACTGATATTCCAGATCGTATAAATAGGCCCTTTGTGGTTAGCAGAGCTGAGGACTGAAGAACTTTCTAGTGAGTGGATGTTTATATTACTAAATAAGAAACTATGCAAATGGACTAACAGCGTCGTCTGGTTATAGCGCAAACTTCGAGCATTGTGCGCTTTTGTGGTTGATGGCGGAGCCTATCTGTGTAATGACGGCTGGAAATCCAAACCCGTCTCTTGATCTGCAGCAAGTTTTGATAAGTTTATGCACATCAATATTTTCCTTTGTGAGTTATATAATTCCCGGCATTATTCTGTAAACTTTCAAAACCATCATTTTGACGGTGCTTGTGAACTGGTATCTGTCATGCTAAATCCATTGAATGGGAATAGGAATTTTTACTATCTTCACTTTCACTGCATATGCTGAAAGTGGTATTTTCTTTGTCCTGTAGCCGCGATCTGATGTTTTTGATGGAGTTAAACGACCTCTCCTCTGTACTATTCAGGACCAGTAAAATCTTGTAGATTTTTTGACATAAATCAATGTGATGATACCTGTAAGGTGGCTTCTCTCATGTTAATTACTAATGTGAGAATAAAAATTTATTTATATATTTATTTAACGAGAATGCAAATAGTGGACTTTTCACTGTGCACAACCCACAGATGAGCCATCCTTGGTCTCAAAATACTACATCCCTGACAGCACAGATATACAGCCTATTTTTTTCCACGACCGCCTCTCCTACCGCCGAAACTCATTCGCTGCATCCATGATGACAGCACAACAGGTAGCAAAGCCTAGAATAAGGTATATGCCGAACGGCGCCACCTCCGCTTATCATATTTACCAGTGACAGCAACAAGCA